CCGCGTCTCATGACGGACGCTTTTGTTAACAAACAGTAATTTTAATTCATTTGTAACAAACAGTTATTTCTGATGAAGGATTGAGGACAATTTGAAATATCAAATATATATAAAATAAATAAATACTTTCATAAAATAAAACATTATTATTTTTTTTAATTTGCAACGTTTTTTTATATATATATATATATATATATATATATATATATATATATATATATATATATATATATAATTTATTTAAAAATTTATAACATAAATATTTATAAAATCACTACAAAAATAGCCATTTTGTTTCAACAATTCTCATGACGTTATCAAGTGATGATGTTGAATGTAAAATAAATGGTTATTTTTGTAGTGATTTTATAATATATTTAGACAGCTCTTAAAATTTTTTTTAAATAAATAATTATATCTGCTCTACTCTGTATTGAGCACTCTTTTTAAGAATAGTATTTGTTGGTTATTGGAATTCATTCCATATATACCAATCATATACTTGGGTATATATATATATATATATATATATATATATATATATATATATATATATATATATAATTAATATTCATTTGGAAAGCAACCTTTCTCTTAAACATCTTTCGTTAATATGACGGACATAGCAGTTTTATTATTTTTTTTTATTTATTTTTTTTCAGCGTTGTTACATTTTTCTGATTGGTTGCTCTGAGGGAGCACTTTAAAATATCCATATCGTACAATCTCCCAAGTGCTTTCGGCTACTTAGTCCTTTAATTTTTTTTTTTTTAATTTTGAACATTAGCAGGAACGTTTATTCTGTGACTACGTTTGTATAGCGCAGCTGGAATACGATTCAGGGTCTTTCTGTTTAAAAAAAAATATTCACGACGCCACTTCCATTGTTATACAAGCTGAGGTTGTTAGTTGGAGAGAGATGTCTAATATACAGTGCCACTTTTATAGTGAGATGTTTTCGCTAATCTGATTCCCATAGAATTCTAAGGTTTATATAGAATTTTAAGGTTTACATAGTATTTTAAAGGTTACACACACACACTGACACACACATAAATACACACACATATATATTAAGACATATCTCATTAAATATTTTGGACAAGTTTTGTCTTCTTATTTTATTTATTTTTTTTAATTACGAACAAGTTTCTTAGTATCCTTATTAAATGAAGAAAGAAAATTACCATGTTTTTGTATATTCATTTTAATCCGAGTACTTTCGACATTAGCACATTGTCATCATCAGGATTTTGCTTTTTCTAAGATGGTTTAGGCGGATGTCTGGCAACCGTGCAAATCCGTTTACGAGTCATGATGGTTTCTAGGCTCTCCATCTTTGCACGGAAGGAGAACTTCGTTGTTCGTGAACGATTGCTACCACGAGACGTGAGAAAAAGAAAAGTCTTTGAGCATGAACACCTTGGCTGCGAATTTGTTTGAGATGGTCCATGTGCTGCCAGTGCATAACGCGTAATCTTCAGCTGACACTGTCTGCTGAGGTAAAACCAGGGCTTGACAAGCAACTTCTTTTTGCACAGTAGTCATTTGAATAAAGACGTGATACTCTTTTGAATACAGCCGGAACGCATTCTTTAACTCTTCGGGACTCCAGACGAAACAGATTAGAGAACAAATATAAAAAAGCCATAGCAAATAGTTCGAAGTTGCTTAGAACCCCAAAATATAGGAAGATGTGGAGGTCCACACTTGCGCACTACACATGATAGCCTATGCGCGGTACATACTAACTGGTGAAGAGGAAAGAAAGTTAGTACAGTACTAGCAAATATTAATTCTCTTATTAACCTCTTGTCACTTAGTGGTTTTACTGCCTTGGTTAAAAAGAATCCGATTAATATATATATATATATGTTAATCGGATTAACATTAATACAGCATAATTGCATATTAAGATTTTTGTTTGTTTTTTCTGTATATTTTTCTTCATACTGTCGGATCTATATCCATTTGCTTACATACTGTCTACTGGAAATACAAACCAGAATTTACTTTATAACATGGAAGACTTCAAGCTTGTACGAGAATATAAGAATCTATTGATCAAGTAAGGAAAGGATTTATTAACGAACTGTTTTAACATTGTTCCATCGTGCCTGTCTGATATTTTGAAATCATTTTTGATTTGCTTTGTAACGTGGAGGACTTCAAGCTTGTATGAAGATATAAGAACCTATTGATCTCTGCGTATTCCTATATCAACGGAAGGCATTTCTTGAACTGTTTATATAAAATAGTTCAATCGACTTTTTTAATATTTTAATATTTGGAAATCATCTTCGAATACGTTTTCACAGCATCGCCTACGTGACGACGACGTGATCATAGTTAAACGGAACGCTGATCTTATATAAAATTTCAGTTATATGTTTGGATTAGTTGTGCTCTTATGTCCATTGTCTTTTCGTGTTGAATTTTTATATGTTCTAATGTTAATTATGTTTAAATGAAAATGTCCTGAAGATGGTCTAAAATTGACCGAAACGTCCGACGTTGACTTTATATTAACATTAATACACCATAATTGCATATTAAAATTTTTGTTTGTTTTTTTCTGTATATTTTTCTTCATATATATATATATATATATATATATATATATATATATATATATATATATATATATATGTTAATCGGGTTATTTGATAATGGCTTATGTAAGCCGAAAGCTTAGATCATATTAAAAAAATATGGATCAATATTGTGAATTTCTTTCTTCATTCAATTATAATGTTATGAAACTTATTAGACGTTATGAAAAGAGTTTACATAAAATAAATAGACAAATACTTGTCTATATTATTTAATGAAACGTGTATGAATATATATACCGAATGCCTCAAGCCAGGATCGAACCCCAACGGATTTGGTGTCAGTGAACCCGATTATATATATATATATATATATATATATATATATATATATATATATATATATATATATATATATATATATATATATATATATATATATATATATATATATATATATAAAATATATATATATATACTGTTGGAAAAACCTTTGAAATGAACAAACCAATACCCAAGGAAAAAAAAGGAATAAAAAAAAGAAAGAATTAAGAACATGTAATTCAGGGGAAAATAATCGACCAGAATCCCAGCTCAGAGTCCAAAGAAAAAAAAAACCTCCGACACGAGTAAAATAACAATAACTAAGCAAAGTGTTCAATACGGTGAGTAGAGCAAATCTAACTATAAATTAAAAAAAGCCAGGCAAACCCACCTAGGTTTGAATTACTCGGATGGTCAGGGTACGCTGGCCAAAGAGGTAATATTAGAACAGAATATAAATAGCATACAACATAAAAACATGACCACGTGACCAAAACAACAAAAAGGAAAAGAAAATATAAAGAACCAAACAAATTGGTAAATCTTAAATCTGAAATCTTGAGTAAGTGTAGATATAGGAAACGCTGGTTACTAGTATAGGTTTGTTTTCTTCTTTTTTTTTTTTTTTCTTGAATAAATATGTATTAACCGCTCCCGTTGTTGAGTTACTTATTTTTCTTTTTTGTCACGTGGTCATGTTTTTATACTGTAGGCTATTTATATTCTGTTCTAATATTACCTCTTTGGCCAGCGTACCCTGACCATCATCGTAAGTGAAACCTAGTACGTTTGCCTGGCTGCCGGGCTTTTTTGGTTCATAGTTATATATATATATAGATATATTAAATATATATATATATATATATATATATATATATATATATATTTAACATTCTTTATATATATATATATATATATATATATATATATATATTAAATAATTCATCGAGGCTAGAAGAAACCTCAACAGAATGCAGAAAGCACTAGCCGGCCGTTTCTGTCATATATTTGGGACTCTGAGAATTGAACTCGGACCGTTGCGATACGATGGAAAACGTCATACCAACTGTACAGTTGGTATGACGCTATAACACACAACACACACACACACACACATATATATATATATATATATATATATATATATATATATATATATATATATATATATATATATATATATATATATATATATATATATATATATATATATATATATATATATATATATACGTATTAAATAGTATTCTCAGTAATGATAGGAAAATTATATATTTGTAGAAGAAAAGCAAGAAAATTGTGATGACTATGTGAGAGTCACCTTTGAGTAGCAATCGTTTCAAAGCCATGTAAATAAATAAGAATTAGGCAAAGAATTAAGGAGAGGCTAGTCGACGTCACACTTGAAGTTTTCAAAAGTACTGCATCCAATCTTGGAGATCGGAAGATACTCTTCATCCTAGTCTAAGAGAAACTGCATTTCTTTTTTCTTCTTTTTTTTAATATTTAATTTAAAAAAAAAATGTCATACTCTAAATGATAATTTTAGACTTCACAAAAATCAAAGCTGACATGTGGAAACAAAGACAATGATGTTCTTTCTAGAACAAATGTTTTTTTTTTTTTTTATTTTCTTTCCGGTAAAAAAACAAAACGAAAAACAATAAAACAAAAAAACAAAGCAGAAACGGAGGAAGCCTGTTTTGAACAATGGTCATAATCTTTTTAACGGAATCCCAGCCGAAGGCAAAATGAAAGAACGTCTTGACAAACGAAAGACAAGAATGCGCAGGAATAACAAAACATTAAATAAAAAAGAGTTACGATAAGAAGGACAGCATATATATATATATATATATATATATATATATATATATATATATATATATATATATATATATATATAGTGTGTGTGTGAAAGTGAGTGTGTGTTTGTGTATGCTTGTGTCGGCGGAATACATGTATATATGAAAAATGTTTGTTTTTTAAAGAAGAGTTTACTGGATTATTCGTAATTAATAGGTATCTTTGTTTTCAGAAATCAGTCATAGTTTTGTGAGATATAAGATCGTGCAGCCCCAGATGCAGAATGCAGATCATTTATGACGTTTAAAAACTTTTGACTTTGTCGGGTTGGAAAAGAGAGCGCGTATCGTTTAATGGAAAGTGTGACAAAAGAAAGAAAGAAAGAAAGAAAGAAAGAAAAAGAAAGAAAGAAAAAGAAAAGAAAGAAAAAGAAAAGAAAGAAAAAAGTAGAACTTTGAAAAAAAAAAAAAAGTCTGAAAGTGAGAAAAAAAGAAAGAAAGAAAGAAAAGTCAAAAGAAAGAAAGAAAAAGAAAAGAAAGAAAGAGAAAAAAAAAAAAAGTAGAACTTTTGAAAAAATGAAAAGTCTGAAAAAAAAGTAAAGAAAGAAAATTTTCAGAAAGAAAAGAAAGAAAGAAAAAGAAAAGAAAGAAAAAGAAAAGAAAGAAAAAAGTAGAACTTTGAAAAAAATGAAAAGTCTGAAAGTGAGTAAAGAAAGAAAGAAAGAAAGAAAGAAAAAGAAAGAAAGAAAGAGAAAAGAAAGAAAAAAGTAGAACTTTGAAAAAAATGAAAAGTCTGAAAGTGAGTAAAGAAAGAAAGAAAGAAAGAAAGAAAAAGAAAGAAAGAAAAAGAAAAGAAAGAAAAAGAAAAGAAAGAAAAAAGTAGAACTTTGAAAAAAATGAAAAGTCTGAAAGTGAGTAAAGAAAGAAAGAAAGAAAGAAAGAAAAAGAAAGAAAGAAAAAGAAAAGAAAAAAAAAAAAAAAAAAAAAAAGTAGAACTTTGAAAAAAATGAAAAGTCTGAAAGTGAGTAAAGAAAGAAAGAAAGAAAGAAAGAAAAAGAAAGAAAGAAAAAGAAAAAACTACAACTTTGAAAAAAATGAAAAGTCTGAAAGTGAGTAAAGAAAGAAAGAAAGAAAGAAAGAAAGAAAGAAAGAAAGAAAGAATGAATGAACGAAGGAAAGGGAAAAGAATGAAAACGGTAGATCAGTGAAAGAAAGATAAATCTGAAACCGAATAAAGAAAGAAAGAAAGAAAGAAGAGGAGGACGGAAAAGGCAAAGAAAGATTAGGAAAACATAAGCAGAAGAATTGTAAGAAAGAAAGAAAAAAATGAAAAAAGAAAGAATGAATGTAACACAGAAACAAAGCCAGATTTAAACACAAACAAAAAAGGAAGAAGAAAGAAAAAGAAAAAAGAAGGAAGAAAAAATAGAGAGAGAGAGAGAGAGAGAGAGAGAGAGAAAAGAAAAAAGAAAGAAAAAGAAGAATAATAGGAATGGAATATTTGACCAGAAAAAAAAGAAAGGACGAACAATTAAAGACGTACGAAAAAAAGAGACAAGAAAAAAGTGAAGAGAGAGAAAGAGCGCGCGCGAGAGAGAGAGAGAGAGAGGGGGGGGAATATATTAAAAAAAATGTGTAAACATCTAAAAAGAAAGAAAAAAAAACAGACAGAAAGAAGGACACAAACAAACAAAAGTTGAAGAATGAATAAAAGAAGGAAAAAAAAGGAAGATTAAATGACATAAATAAAGATCAAGATAAACGTAGAAAAGGAAGAAGAAAATGAAAACTCTAAAGTGAAAGAAAAAGGAAAAAACATAGAAAGTAAAGTAAAGAAAGAAAGAAAGAAAGAAAGAAAAGAATCTGAATAGAAAAGAAGAGACAAAAAATAGATGTGCAAAAAAGAAAGGACAAGAACAAATGGAAGAGAGAACAAAGATATATTGAAAGAGAAAAGGTGAAAACATGCAAAGTAAGAAAGTAAGAAAGACAGAATGAAAGGAAGAAAGAAAATAAAAAGAAAGAAATAAAGGGAGAGAGAATAAAAAATGAATGAAAAAAAAGAATGGATGAAAGAAAGAAAGAAAGAAAGAAAGAAAGAAAGAAAGAAAGAAAGAAAGAAACAATGGGAGGGATAATAAATAAAATGAAAAGTGAATGAGAATCCAGAGGAAAGAAACGAAAGAGTGACCGGGAGAGAAAAAAAGAAAGAAAGGAGAACTGAACAAAGAAAAAAGAGAGAAAAATAATCGAAATAAAGAAAGAAAGAAAGAAAAAAAGAAAGAAAGAAAGAAAACACCACGGATAATGCAAGCAAGCAAGCAAGCAAGAAAGAAAGAAAGAAAGAAAGAAAGAAAGAAAGAAAGAAAGAAAGAAAACACCACGGATAATGCAAAAAAAGCAAGAAAGAAAGAAAGAAAGAAAGAAAGAAAGAAAGAAAGAAAGAAAGAAAGAAAGAAAACACCACGGATAATGCAAGCAAGCAAGCAAGAAAGAAAGAAAGAAAGAAAGAAAGGAAGAAAGAAGAAAGAAAGAAAAAAAGAATGAAAGAAAATAAAAAAAGAAAGAAAGAAAGAAATATGGAAAAGATAATGAAAATAATTTGAAAAAAGGAAAAAATAAAGACATAAAAACGAAAGAAAGGACAAATGACTGATTGAGAGAAAGAAACAAAAAGGAAATAAGCAAGAAGAAAAATAAATAAAAGAAAGAAAAGTTGAAGACATTTACAGACTGAAAGTCAAAAGCGAAAACAATGAAGAAACTCGAAATAAGCCGTGTTAAATGTAAACCAAATAATACAAATTTTGAAGAATGTAGAAAGCTAAAACGTAATCATGAACAAATAAGTAAAAAATGGAGCGAAAAAAAAACAAAAAAAAAAATACACACTTATACACACATTAGATAAAAGCTATCTCCCTCATTCTAAATGTTACATTGTGTTAGCGCGAGAATATCGTCTGCTCAACGAGATCAACATTCCTGGCAGATACCCTTGAAAATCAAGGCGAGGAATTTGGGCGATTTGAGACCGAAGGATTGTACCCTTGACTACGAATCCTGATAAGTGAGAAAAAGAGGATATGGTGAGTGGAGGCCAAAAAAAAAAAAAAATAAGAAAATAAAAAGAGGAAGGAGTCATTTCTATCAGTCTCTCGTGCATTCTTTCTTCCCTTCTGTTTACGCGCTTCTTTTTACGCCATTTTTTTTTTATTTTAGAATTCGGCTGGATATCAGTCGAAATAACTTCTTTTCTATTTGCCTTATCTCCGCCCTTGAGAACACGCTAATATGGGGCCAATAAATATCAGATAAGATTAATAATGTTGCTTCGAAATAAACAAAACGCGACACGAGGAATACGCTGCGGTAATGGTTAGCGGTGCCGAAGATCAAATTGTCGAGCAGCGTTCGAATTCTGGTTGGGTTTGTGTGAGATTTCTCTTAAAAAAAGACACGTAAATCCATTTTATGCCAGATTCGAGTTATTCAAATTATACCACATTGAATTACCGTGCACAGATCGTTGTCAGTTCAAGGATTCTGGATCCTGTTATTAAACCATCAAGAAATAAGCATCCAAAGGGTACGAGTGATAAATTGTCGTCTAAATGCCGCCAAAAGGAAAATAACGTTGACATCTCATTTTAACAAATATACAGGGTGCGATGGATAAATTGTCGTCTAAATGCCGCCGAAATTAAAATAGCATTGACCTCATTTTAGCAGATATACAGGGTGCGATGGATAAATTGTAGTCTAAATGACGCCAAAATAAAAATAACAATGACATCTCATTTTAGAAGATATACTGGGTGCGATGGATAAATTGTCATCTAAGTGTCGCCGAAATAGAAATAACACTGACCTCATTTTAGCAGATATACTGGGTGCGATAGATAAATTGTCATCTAAATGACGCCGAAGTGAAAATAACACTGACATCTCATTTTAACAGATATATTTAGCAAACTTGCCCCAGAAATATATTGAAATACTGACGAGTAAATATATTGAATAAAATCGCCATTAGCTTCAACCACTGCATCCAGACGACTTCGGAATCTCCTGCAACTCTTCTGGACGGTCTCCTTGTTTAAGTTGGTAAATGCTGCCATAATCTTTTCATTCCTAGCCGCTATATATTACACCACACGCACATCCAACACTACTGAGAGATATCAAGAATAGGAAATTGCGGAAAAACATGATCGTCGATCGATGGTACACGTTATGCAAAAAGTTTGTTCAGTCTTTTTCTTTTTTCAATGCGCATTAGTAGAGTTAATTTTTTTTTAATGTCATTCAAAACGATCGCTTTTGATGGAATTGTCACTAGTGTCATGGCGTAGATTTTAAACATCAAAATTGGCATATTTTTGTTATTATATTCTGACGCTGAAGATTTTTTCCGGATATTACGATTTCTTTTTTTCCTTCAAGAAAAGTAATACAAGAAGACGGAGTGTATGGTCGTCAGTAAGAGGACGAGCCCGAAATGCGATCAGGAAGTTGGGAACACTAGAATCAAGCAGACGCGGAAGTTTAAATATCTGGGAAGCGTCTTGACAGAGGACGGTAAGTGTGACACTGAGATCCGTAGACGTATTGGGATGGCCAAGGATACATTCCAAAAGCTTGGCAGAGTATTGCGAGACAGCAGGATTTCTTTGGCAGCAAAGAAAAGAATGCTGAGCTGTTGCGTGACATCTGTTCTTCTTTACGGCAGCGAATGTTGGATGATTTTCTCAAAGAAGAAGAAGAGCCTCGAGGCGACAGAGATGTAGTTCTACAGAAGGATGCTAAGGATATCATGGACCCAGCGTGTGAGCAACGATAACGTCTTAGAGAGGTTGCAAAGAAGAAGGCTTATACTTAATATCAGGAAGAAATTTCTGGGACACATAATGAGGAAAGATGGCCTGGTGAATCTGATGTTCACGGGTCGAATAGAGGGAAAGAAAGACAAGGGAAAACAACGCGTGACATACTTGGCGGACTTAAGCAAATGGATGACAGAACGTGGTCTGGGGGAGGAAGCAGAGGGAAGAAATTTGTTGAGAGCTGCAAGGGATAGAAGGAGGTGGAGAGCCATGATCGCCTACGTCCTGAAAGGACGCGGCACTTTAAAAGAAAGAAAGAAATACAAATAAGTTTTGCCGTGATTCGTAGCCATAATTCGTTTTGGAAACTAGATGAGACCAAATATTTTTCTCGTTTCAGCATCATATGCACAATCACCATTGATCGTAAATAGAGATTAGTAAAGCCATCATACTACATCCCGTCATTTCTTATGATTCTCATTAAGGGCGATCGCTAACTTCCGGCCTGCATAGCTTTGCACATGCGCAATGTACAATCTCGCTCTTATAGCTCTTTGAATAGAAAGGATACACAAACGACAACCATATCAAGGCGAGGTTCATTAAAGCAATTTAAACAATCGAAGATATTTTCTTTGAAAGATTATGGCATTTTAACACATTGGCCTTCACTTTAAAGTTTAAAATCTATAAGCGATTATTTTTTTTTAACTTTTCGCACTATGATTGCTAACAAACTGCATTTTAGCCAAGCACTTCTTTGATTATAATTTTCTTTTAATTTTTCGTACATTTTAACTGGAAACCCTTAACTGGATAAAGGACTATTTAAAGTAAACACATGTAAAGGGTGTTCCAATAACGTAGAACGATTTTAAATGTGAATTAGTTTTAAGCGTCTAATGATTGTTTTTTTTTTTTTCCTTCAGATTTGCAAACATTGGCAATTTCAACAATGGAAAGTTTAACAATCAAACAACGTGTTAAAGTTATCCTTTAATTCTTCTCGATACAATGAATACCGAAAGGTACCTTAACTTGCTGCAAGATGAAATCTGGCCAGTTATCATTGCATGGGAGAAATGTTGAAATTTTGATTTTCATACAAGATGGACTTCTACATATTGCTATTATCGTTTATCAATGGCTGAATGCTCACTTCCATGTGGGCTGTATGAGTCCTCGTGATCCATATTAGCCATCAAGGAGTCCTGACAAAACAAACTATGGCGTTCGTTAAAGAAGCAAGTCTACTATATACATTGTTATAATCTACATTTCTTCTCTCCCGCTCTTATGTTCATACACCAAAAATATTCATTGTCTAATGATTTTTTTTTGGGGGATTTTTCCTTCAGATTTGCAAACATTGGCAATTTCAACAATGGAAAGATTAACAATCAAACGTGTTAAAGTTATCCTTTAATTCTTCTCGATACAATGAATACCGAAAGGTACCTTAACTTGCTGCAAGATGAATCTGGCCAGTTATCATTGCACGGGGGTGGGGATGTTGAAATTTTGATTTTCATACAAGATGGTGACCATCTATATTTTGCTATTAACGTTTGTGAATGGCTGAATGCTGACTTCCAGGAGAGCTGGATGAGTCATCGTGATCCATATGAGTAGCCATCAAGGAGTCCTCATTGTTTATAATTTCCTTAAAGAAGCCCGCTCTTATGTTCATACACCAAACTAATTCAGCCTGGAGTGGCTCTTGGGCTTTGTATAAATATGGCCTCATATATAATTAAAAATGGGCCAATTGTCTCTGAATATTAATCTGCATTTGGGGTCAACACAATTTATTAATATTGTTGTTATTATTATTATTCTTCAGTGCAATTTTCGCCTGTGGGTCATTTATGTAGGGTGTTCCAGTAACTTGGACCGATTTTAAATGTGAATTAAGTTTAAGCGTCTAATGATTTTTCTTTATTGCTAAGTTTGATCCGTCTTAATGAAACACCCTTCATTATTTGATTATTATTTTTCAGTCATCTTGTTGAGTTAAAGTATTTCAAATTCTGATTTTTAAGTGTTCCGCAGTGAAATGCCAACGAAACGAACATAAATTCTCTTGCTATGTTCCATGTTTTTAATCAGTCAATTATGACAATTTTATTTTAAATATTACTTAAGCTTTAAAAGCATTTAAAACAACGAACAATAAATTTAATATTTTTATTCAATATTTATTACATTTTACCAAGAAAAATCTTGCTTTATACTCTCATTCTCCAACTACCAATTAGTTTTATTATTTCAGAAATATTAAATTCATAGAACAATAGAATTTAAAATACACATTTTTCCAGGCTTAGTTGCATTTTTGATGAAGGTTTTGAATGAAAGATGACGGTGACAGAGGCAACAATTTTCACTAACATAAAACAAGACGTAATTCAGATTTTTAAAATATTCAATAAAGGTATCCAGTTTAAACAAATGAAAAAAAAAAGGTCATTTATTCTATCATTTTTTTTGCGTGTGCGGGAACATATATGCATCTGCATATACTTTAACACACACTCACACGCTTGTCACAACATATACATAACATTAGGCTTTGGGGCTCTGCCAAACACTACATGTGTGACAGTTCCGGATTGGTTGCATGACCGTCCAATGGAGGCCCTCTCTCTGCTTCCTCTGTGGTAGATGTAGAGCCCTTGGCAACTTTTCGACTCCATGAATTGAACAGATAGCACGCGAACACTTGTTCGTCTCATCTGATGCATCAAGCCGGATATTTACAAGTGCATAATTTTGCCAGATTTGCAATGGTGGATCAAATATCTATGAATAAGGATTGATGAATTAACACAACTAGCAAAAAGGAAGTAACAATCAGAAAGTCTCATCGAAGAGGTTTAAAGAAAAATAGGTTAAAT